GGTGGATAAAAGAAAAATGAAAATTAAATGCAAAAGACGCTCCAAGATTGCACATATCGCATGAACGAAACGAATCCGAAAACATACCGATACTTGTTGAAGAAAGAGGGGATGCCTTCCGGGGTATCCCCAGGCTTAAACGCTTGAGTATCCTTGAATATTTACTTGGGGTGCCTCGGTCATTCCCAAGCTTGAGCTCTTGCCTCTCTTCCTTCTTCTCATATCGAGACCTTCTCGATCATCGAACACTTCATCCACACAAAACTTCAACAGAAAACTCGGTAAGATCCATTAGTATAATAAAGCAAATCACTACTCTAAGTATTGTGGCAAACCAATTCATATTTTTTTGCATTGTGTCTACTGTAATATAGCTTTTCCATGGCTTAATCCACTGATACAAATCAATAGTTTCATCAAAACAAGTAAACTATGCATCAAAAACAGAATCTGTCTAAAACAGAACAGTCTGTAATAAGTTGAACATTCTCCATACTTCTGATACTTGAAAATTTCTGCAAAAATTAGGAAAAATAAACAATTTTTATAGAAATACAGTGCAAAAATAATCAGTACCACTTGACTTGCCAGCTAAAAATGTAAAATCGTGCACTACAGACAAAGTTTTGTTTGGTACCGTACAAACCATCAAGCAAATGTAAACATCCTAAAGGCAAACCTTGACACATTATTTTTATAATACAACGGAATTGTACAAGGGGATAATTATTTTTATTGAAAAGTTTCTGTAATCAAGATTCACAAAGTTGCCATGAGCATGAACAAAGTTCAAGGAGCTCTCCACTTCAACAATGCTTGTCTTTCTCACTTTCACTTTCCTTTTTGAAAAAGTTTAGGGTTCCCCTCTTTATTTTTTTTGTTTTTAAACTATATGAAAGCACTCAACAGAAATAAATGACTCTCTAAAACTTCCGGGTTGTCTCCCTGGCAACACTTTCTTTAAAGCAATTAAGCTAGGCATATAGTGCTCAAGTAATGGATCCACCTGGATCCCAAGGTATATCAAATCCAATTTTAATTAACAATGATTTTTAATTTAGTAGTGAGTGCAAAGTAACATATATCATATAACAACGAAGTCTAACTCTCTTCCTTTGCATCAGCATGGTATAAAAGAACAATTCAAGCACACATAGTAAAGGCCAATGCATAGCATAAGCAGTTTCTTGCAATTTTATCATGTGGGAAACATAGAGAGGTGGAGATATAGTTCCTCTCTCATAATAATTGCAAGTAGGAGCAGCGAGCACATGCATATCATATTCATCAAAATCATCATGTGCAACGGTAAAAGGCAACCCATCAATATAATCCTTAATAAGGGCAAACTTCTCCGATATAGTGTAGTCGGGAGAATTCAAAAAGATAATAGGACTATCATGTGTGTATGCAATAGCAAAAATTTCATGTTTAACATAAGGAACTATAGCAAGTTCATCTCCATAAGAATAATTCATATTGGCATCTTGGCCAAAAGCATAGCAAGCATAATCAAAAAGGGATATTTCAAGAGAATCAACGGGATCATAACAATCATCATAGCAATCATCCTTCGGTAAGCACGAAGGGAAATTAAAACAATGTATGAGTTGAAGAGTTACTCTCATTAGAAGGTGGGCACGGGTAGCTAATCCGCTCTTCCTCCTTTTGTTCTTCGCTCTCCTCCTCATCTTTTTCATCCAATGAGCTCACAGTTTCATCAATTTCTTCTTCCGTAGACTCCTGCAAAATATTAGTCTCTTCTTGGACAACGGGGTAGTCCTCAATATATGGTTGAACATAGGCATTAGAAGCATAATTATCGTAGCAATATTTAAGCATGTCAAAATTTTCAGATTTGTAAAGAGTAGCATCATACGTTTCAATCAAAGAAGCAATTTCATAAGCACCCTTAAAAGAAACAAATTCTTCAATTTGTTGAACATCATAGTAACTATAAACACCCTTAGAATACGAAGATACGATTCCATTATCACTAAACTCACATTGATAGGGAAGGTGTTTCTTAGGGTTTCCAGAACAACAAATAATATCGTATATTTCACATAAATTCCAAGCATAGCATTGCAAATGATGAATTTGACCCAGTAAAATTTTCCATTTTTCAAATATCTGGTGTCGCACATAACAAGCATGCTCATCTAAAGATTTTCCCTCAACTAAGCTAGTTGGGGTTTCAGCACGAGCACATAGGGATCGAAGATGGTCCAAGTAATAAGCTTCAGCAGTGTGATAGATTTTGAGTGGTTCTTCAACCATTGGTTTAGTAGGTACAACTATTTTTTTTTGCTATTTTGCGTTTCCTACCCATAACTAAAGATAGAAAACAACTAAGAACAACAAATAAAATTACTTAGTGATAAAGTAAACAAGCACACATGAGAATATTCACCCCACGCTATTGCTCCCCGGCAACGGTGCCAGAAAAAGGTCTCGATAACCCACAAGTATAGGGGATCACAACAGTTTTTGATAAGTAAGAGTGTTGAACCCAACGAGGAGCTAAAGGCAGAACAAATATTCCCTCAAGTTCTATCGACCACCGATACAACTCTACGCACGCTTGATGTTCGCTTTACCTAGAACAAGTATGAAACTAGAAGTACTTTGTAGGTGTTGTTGGATAGGTTTGCAAGATAATAAAGAGCACGTAAATAAAAAGTAGGGTCTATTGTAAGTAAAGAAGCAATAAATTAAATATAGCGAGTGTGGAAAAGTGGTGGTAGGAGTTGCGGAATTTTCCCTAAGCAATTGACTACTTTACTAGACCGATAGCAATTATTATGTGGGAGAGGCCACTGCTAGCATGTCATACCTGACTTGGAATTCTATGCACTTATGATTGGAAATATTAGCAAGCATCCGCAACTACTAACGTTCATTAAGGTAAAACCCAACCATAGCATTAAGATATATTAGTCCCCCTTCAATCCCGTATGCATCAATTTCTATGCCAGGTTGAAGCTTCGGTCACTCTTACCCTCCAATACATAGTCCTATCAACATACAACTAACCCTAGGGTGTGATCCACGCGTGCACTCATATGATGGGCACCAAAGGACAGCAACATAACCACAAGCAAATTAAATAAATCATAGCAATTCATCAACCACCGATAGCACAACGAAAATATACATAGACATCATAGGATGGCAACACATCATTGGATAATAGTATGAAGCATAAAGCACCATGTTCAAGTAGAGGGTACAGCGGGTTGCGGGAGAGTGGACCACTATAGATAGAGGGGGAAGGTGATGGAGATGTTGGGGAAGATAGGGGAGGTGTTGGTGTAGATCACGGTGATGATGATGATAGCCACGGCAGCGTTCCGACGCCATCGGAAGAGAAGGGGAGAGGGGGCCCCTTCGTCTTCTTCTTCCATGACCTCCTCCCTAGATGGGAGAAGGGTTTCCCCTATGGTCCTTGGCCTCCATGGCATTGGAGGGGCGAGAGCCCCTCCGAGATTGGATCTGTCTCTGTGTCTCTCTCTGTTTCCGCGTTCTCAGATTCTACCCCTTAACCGTTTTACATATTCCCGGAGATCCGTAACTCCGATTGGGATGAAATTTTAACACGATATCTATCCGGATATTAGATTTATTGCGGCGAAAGTAGGTAAATATGTTAGTCCGAAAAATTGTATAAAAATATGCCAAAAGTATAGGAAAGTTGCATAATATTGGCATGGAACAATCAAAATTTATAGATACGACGGAGACATATCAATAGCTCGTTCGGGCGGCTGTGTAGTGCGGCGTGCGCATGCGCTCTAGGTTTAGTCCCACCTCGCTAGTCGAGGGGGCTCCGGACCTGTTTATAAGCGCAGTCGAGGCTCACTGGTCGAACTTCTCTGAATACTTATCTGAGCGCTTATACACGATGCTCGCTCTCTCTCATGACCTGTGGGCCCTGATCGGTGGGCCCTGCGTTGTGCGGATTACTAGGGATTCGCCTATGGGCTCGAGTTCAAGTATCTTGCAGCGTCAGGGCCTGCGCCTGACCTTGGGCGGTCAGTTTTTTCTTTTTGTTTGTTTGTTTGAATCTAGTACTTGACTCCACCAGTAACTTGGACTGAAACTTTTTGTTCTAGTTCTTGTCAGTTTTGTGTAAGTGTAATTTTAAGATGTACTTGCGTGTAGACTAAGTTGTACTGATAGTCCATTCATAGTAGCTCTTACGAACTGATGCTTCTATGTACTTTTTATTGTAGTAAGTATGTACTGTCCGATTAGGTGTACTAGTACTGTGATTCTTAATCTGCAAGTGACCAACATAAGTGTGTGCTGGTGCTTCTTAACTTTTTCTGTTTTTAGTACTTGTTAATTTTCTAGCAGCTACATATGAATGAGAACACTACATGAAGTAGTAAGAATTTTTGCTTCAACTTTTGAAGCGTTGTTAAGCAACTCAAATTGTGCTGATTGTTCTCAACATTATGTTTTCTATACAATACTGAATCGAAACTAGACATGGAACAACGTTGTTTGATTAGTTGCGCCATAACTAGTACTTTAGAGCAGCCACAAAGTTCCATTCAGAAGCTACTTTTGAATTTAAAATGATGGATTAACAACATACAAAGCTACCAAACTTATATAATGAGATAAGCAAAACATTGTACTTGATGACATAAGTAAACTTGTTCAACCATGACAAGCACGACATAATCATACTGGTTCAACCCAACAAGAGCAAACTACTAATTTGAAAGAACAAGATAAAAGGCAAGCACAAGCGGAAGTAAAACGAAGGCAAGCTCTGATGTATCTTCATCCCGTATAGGGGCAATAGGGGTGGTCGTAGAATTTCGCGGCCTCCCGCTCTATTGCAAATTCTGAGCCATCAGTGATTTAGTCGATCATGCTCCATGCCTTGTACGTGGCATATACATCTACTCTTGCGTACTCGATGAGGTTGTCTGGCAGCGGGCTGGTCCACCACAGTTTGTAGTCTTCCTGCATGTTGTTCTTCTTCTTCATGCCTTTGTGAATGGGTGGATGACGCTGGCTGCAACATCAGTCAAGGAGTCATACTCTTTTCCGGTGTATGGAACTCTCCACTTGCGCTGAATGTCGATGAACTTGTTGGGGTTGATCTCCATACCGGACAACTTCAGCCTCTCTTTGTCGCTTTCAATGCTGAAACCGGCAAATGTGAACAACGTCTCATGCTGCAGCAACTCGTTCGGGCGCTTGGGCCTTCAAGGGGAGAGACATTTCTGAAAATTAGCATTACTTTGATGTTTGAATTATTCATTTTTTTTGTTTTACAAGCGATGAATCCATGAAGTAGATGTTTATGTACCATAAATAATGGATGAATGTACTTCAAAAACTAGTAAACAAAGTTCTGAAATTAAATTAAGTACATCATGTTATTCTTCTTTTTGGATTATACATAGTTTTAGTCAATGTTGTATGTTCTTCTTTGGTACTAGTTTAGTTTACTTTTGTTGAATAGGATAACACATAAATAATGCTTCACCAAGTCCTTAGTTTATTTTCTTATCAAATTCAGAAAATACTTCACCACATCAAGTTCAGAAACTACACTATTGGATCAAGTTCAGAAACTACACTCGTCGATCAACTTCAGAAATTAATCTTCCACAAAATTTTCCAAATAGTAATCCTGTGCATCAGGTTCAAAAATACATTTATAGTGTATCTACTTGAGAAAATGCAGCGGTGCATCCACTTTTCACAAACCACACTAGTACATCCACTACTAGGAAAAGGGCTATAGATAGGATTGACACTAATGGCGCACTAGGGAGGCAGTGCGCCACTACTATATACTAATGGCGCACCAGTTGGTGATGCGCCATTAGTGTGGAAGGCACTAATGGCGCACTAGAAAACAGGTGCGCCACTAGTGATAATTTTTTTTCATTTTTACATACATACTAATGGCGCATCCTACCGAAGTGCGCCATTACTAGTTCTAACTAGTAATGGTGCACCAGACAGGGAGTGCGCCAGTACTGAAATTTTTTTATTCTTTTTTTTGCAAAACTACTAATGGCGCACCGCCTCACAGTGCGCCATTACTAGTTTAAACTACTAATGGCGCACCCTATAGAAGTGCGCCATTAGTATATATTTTGATATCATGAATATTTTTAAATATCATGGGCACTTTTTGATATCATGAATATTTTTAAATTTCATGGGCACTTTTTGAATTCATGAATATTTTTTCAATTTTGATGATATTTTTTCATATTCAATATGATAAAATATTGAATATTCATGAGGACACTCGATCTCGATCCCCCTCCATCTCGATCTCGATTCCCCCTCCATCTCGATCTCGATCCCACCCGCGCCTCCTCTCCCCTCTTCATTTTTTAAAAAATAATAATAAAAAAGTGTAGACTACAATTGTTGTTAAACAACAATTATTACTGTTTTTAGAAAAAAATATTACTGTTTCATATTCATATTCATTTTCTAAAAAATTATTACATGCAACCACAAAAAATTACTTATGGCGCACCTCTGGCTGGTGCGCCATTGCTATATATAAAAAAAGATTACTAATGGCGCACCTCTGCCTGGTGTGCCATTTCTATGTAAAAAAAGATTACTAATGGTGCACCTCTGCCCGGTGTGCCATTGCTATGTAAAAAAAGATTACTAATGGCGCACCAACCGCTGGTGCGCCATTAGTAAGATTCCCCCTAGCTAATTCCCTCCCTCTCCCTCGCCCCCTAGATAATTCCCACCGCTGCCACGACCCCCCGCACCCTCCCCCGCTCCACCGCCGCTAACGATCCACCGCACCCTCCCCCGCTCCACCGCCGCCGCCGACCCCCC